GGATTTCCAAGAAAAATTATAATTAAAGGCAATCATCTTAATGCTTCATGACCTCCAAAATGTTGATATTGTGCTAAGTAACTTCTTAAACTATTCAATAAGATTGTTTTTATTAATTTAGAAAAAATAATTTAAATATATTTTGTAGATATTACTTTTTGTACAGATAGATTGTCTTTAAAAAGTGGTAAAATTTGCCTCATGTATAATAATCAACAGTGCATAGAAAATTTGTAGACGGCATTTAACAAATGAAGTTAAAAGAAATTCTTTCTGTTTCTTTTGATTTTATTTTGTTAAATTATTTTCATGAAACAAAAAAACATTTGATTTTTCTCATTCTCAAAAAAGTCATAAGATAAATGTAAATCTTTAAAACATAATATTTGAAGTTGGCACTAAACATATTTATATAGTTGAAGGAAATGCTTTCATTACTTTTTTTAAATTTTCATTTTTATTTTTTAAATAATTTTTCAAAATTATTTTCATGAAACAAATATTTGAATTTTGTTTCATTCAGAAGAAAATCATAATAAAAATGAATATACAAAGAGTTTTTAAAAAGATTACATTTTAAACTACACTATGCACTAAATTTTGTTGTGCATATAGATTAAATTGTTTTGGATATAATTTTTTGCAAAGATAATTTATCCATCTTGGACAAATGATAAACTCTACCATTTGCTGTTGTAGGAACATCAACAGTGCACGGAATATACATTAATGGTACAAAACATATATCCTTAAAATCTTCTTTCCAGTAAAATAAATGTGATGGAAGAGCTGGGTACATGAACTTAATCAGCAAGTCCTTATTCTCCATATCAATTTCCAGGACCATGTCAATCCAAATTTTATTGTTGTACTTGCAACAAACATATCCTGAAACAAAAAAAATTACTGGTTTTTCTTCAGCCCCAATAGAAAAGTCATATAGTCATAGTTTTCATCTTTGCTACATTTGTTTCATAGCTATTTTATCTCTGGTGAGTGGAATAAATTGATGAAAACTTCTTGTTCCTGGGACTGTGGATGCATTTTCAAATCTCATGGTGAGACTCCTCCTCACTTCCTCAACTTCTTCCTTTTCAACCAGAATGAATTTGATACCTTCAATTGCAGATTTACAATATTCAAACATAGATTCTGTGGAAAGGATTTGTTTGGTAGTTGGTCTTCGGAGACTTTCTTTTGATACTATCCTTTTCACTGTCCCACCTATACCAACACATGGTTGTTTACCATGACTTGTTGCAAAGAAATTCTATTTTGCATTGAGCCCAAAATCTTTCTGATGGTTGCACAAATTGCCAAAGTTCTTATAATTTTTGTATTGCGTTGCACAACCATCAGTAAAATACTCAATATTTTTTATGTTTAGCAAGGTAGCTTTGATTAACTCAATAATTTTTTTCTGTACCATATAAACAAATGCTACATCATGTGAGTTGTCACTTGACATAATGCAGAAACATTCACTTTGCATTGCATTTTCAAGCTTAAAGTAGAGTACCACTGGATGTAAAGTATATTGTGACGTATTCCAATGATATCTCAGGATCTCATCTTTTAAAAAACACTGAGATTTGGTGACGTTGCACAGCCTTAATTTAGAGGCAAAATAGGAAAATTATATACCCCCCCCCCAGCTAAAATAGGAATGGTAAAGTCTTTCTCCAACTGCTCTGCAACACCATACGCATACAATGCGTGGATGTTTTCGGGCATGATGTTGCATATCTTGCTCACAAAAAAAATAAAAACTATTACAAGCAATGCATTTTTGAAAAAAAATATTACCAGCAATAAAAATCTTGTCAGCATTAATAACCCATTGAAGTTGATATGCTGTAAACCAAACCAAACCATCTAAACTGCACTTATTTTTATGTTATCAATATTGTATTTGTAAAGTTGGACATAAATATAATGAGTAATACAATGAGAAAATTAAAGAAGTCAGATGAACCATTTTTCAAAATATCCAGTTAGTGTCAATTTGGTTTAAAGTATTTTTTGTAGGAAACATGGTTTCACTGTACTTTGTTGTTTAAATTTGTGTCAAGAGTTCTATTTTCTTTAACTTGAGCAATGAATTTAGATTTCCTCTTTCGGATTTCTTTCCTCCTTTATTTTTTTTTAATAACAAATCCTTAATTTGATAGTATTGAAAATATAATTTTTTTCTTTTCAATAATTTCCATAAGGTTGAAGCTTCTTGTGTTAAAAAAAAAGTAAAAAGTAAATCTAACTTTTGTATAAAGATATTGGTTATGATTTGATTCAATCTTTATGAATCAATCACTTGCCAAAAATATAGACTTTTCAGAAGAAAATTTGAAATTCTTGCCATAATTGTCTGCTGTGTATAAGTTATATCAATAACCTTTAACAATTAAAAACAATTAAAATTGTTTAACATTTTACAAACATTTAACCTTGAATCTTTCATGTTAGGTCATATTAATTTGACAAATAATATCTTTGATGTAAATTTGATTCCTGATATCATATATTATGGGATACTGAAGTTGCAGCTCACAGATAGCCTTTTATAAATTCAGGTTTTGCTTTTGATGTTGTGACTACATAATACTAACAAATCCATTTTATCTGTCAGTATAGATTAGATTTTGGACTTTTTTTTTATTGTAGCTTATCATCAACAGCCTCTGAGTTAGCTTTATAATTATTCTTTATCATTTGTATAATTTTATAACTTTACTCTCATCAAATCTATTTTATTTAATTGTCATTTCTTTGTCTCTGGATTTTCTTGCTAGAAATTTATCTTTTTATATAAAAATTAATATTTTCAGTCAAGTACTGTTATGAATTTTCTATTGTAATATAATGTGAAGATGAGCCTGCTCTGAACTTTATTTCTTCAGATATCATTCTCATTTCAAATCTTGACTTGAAATTCTCAATTGTATGTCATAGGTGCAAGTGAATAATGATATGGATTATTGTCTAATAGGATAAAACTGTGTTGTCACGTGTCATGTATGTGTATAGTGTAACAGTTACCAGTCCAGAAAGAGAAATTGGTAGGCTGAGTTTGAATTCCAGCCAAATTTGTTACATTTGCATTTGATAAAGATGAGAATATTTAGTCTGACTATAGATTATGTAAATAATGATAACTCCTTGTCCTAGAAATCTTTTTTTTTTTTTTTTTTTTACATATGTTAATGGAACAATGGTTAACTGAATTGATTGTCTAAAAGGGAATATCTAACTGCTGAATTATGAAAAGATACTGTACAAAATAATGATTTAATTTTATATCTGCTGGGAGCACTTGGTAGATTGCATTTTTTGTCCATGTTGAGAAATCCATTCAATTAGACACAATTGATTTTAATGAAGCAATAATTTCTTTTGGTGATACACTAACAAAACATACACTCATTTCTTTCATGATTCAATTTTTCCTCTGGTAATTTAGGAATATGTGATATTGATTTGTGTGATCGTAACAAGTGATAAAAGCAAGTAATCATTACTATTCCAAGTTAGTCATAGTTTTCACTTGTCATAACCTGTCACATATTTCTTTATAGAATTTATAAGTTCCTGTAAAATGAAAAGGAAAATACCTATTTTCTCAAGTTTTCACCAATTCATCAAAATTGTATTAATTTATATTTGCTTTTTTATTCATAATACTGAGAAAGTGACAATACTGATAATATTCATTCCAATTTACTTATTTTTTTTCATATTTTTGTTTGAATTTTAGTTTAGGTTTGTATTTTTCTGATTTTTGGTGCTGTTTGAATATTTTCATTAAAACAACCAACCATCATTTGATTTTACATGATGCTATTGACATAAAAGATGCAATCTCTTTTCCAATTGACCAGCTTTCTTAAAATAATAATGTGATTTTGTAATTCCAATATATCACAAATTGAGATCAGTACACCAGTTCTAGTCATCAGCAATAAATATCTGTCAGATATTGGTAGATGATACTGTTCCAGTAAAAAAGCACAGTGTGAAACTGACAGAAATTGTGAAGCTGGAAAAATGCCTGCATATTGCTAGAGGACTGAAAACAAATCTTTATCAAATTCAAATATAACAAATTTGGCTGGAATTCAAACTCAGCCTACCAATTTCTCTTTCTGGACTGGTAACTGTTACACTATACACATACATGACACGTGACAACACAGTTTTATCCTATTAGACAATAATCCATATCATTATTCAATTTGAAATATGAAAGTGACAGTTGTACCCATCATTATCAGCACAATTTGAACAGTCCTGAAGAGCCATGCAAAAATGTTTGCAAGAATTGGAAATCCAAGGAAGATTTGAAGTCACACAGATGACAGCATTAGTAAAATCAGCTAAAATACTGAGAAGATTGCAGTATTGAGAAAACTTCTTGTCATTTGATTTCTGATGAAAGCCAACCAGATACTGCCAATGTAAAAATAATGATCACAAAATAATATTTTTTTGTATATTCTTTGTTGCAAAACAACTGCTTTATTGCCCTTTTTTAGTCTTTGCATGTAAATATTTGGTATCAGTGTGTCTTCAACATTTCTGAAGAAACTTAAGACTAAGAGAAATATGTATATGCATATATAGGATTGTGATTCAGTTGCATTTTAAAAGAAACATTTTTTGGATGAATCCAAACCATCTGGTAAATATTATCAATTGCTTCTTGAAAATTTACTACAACTTGATGCAAGCTTGTCTTTTTACACATGTATTTGTTTTCTGTACACATCACTTCATGCTATGACAGGCAATAAAACAAGGCTGAAACTTGTAGACTTTCACAGATCCATTGCTTTGTAATTTTTACTGTAAATGTCACAGACAAAGCACTTTTTGTATGAGTTTAATTTAGTTATTATACCAGAGTGTAAATATTAAAAACTATTTCATTTCAATATTATTTTCATTAACCCTGCTTTTATAAAATTTGATTTATGAATGCTTTCATTTTTCTTTTAAAATTGTAGACCACCTTTATTTTGCTACCTGCCGGGTGAGACCACGGTCCAGACCTAACACTCACTATTTTAGTATTGATGATGAACTTGTCTATGAAAAGTAAGTAATCTTTATTTTCATAAAGTCTAATTGCTTGATAGTTCTTGCAATATCAAATCATTTACATTTCTTTTAAAAAATAAATTTCAGCATTGTAAACTGACATGTACATTCTTGAGGAATAATTTGAATTGGTTAAGATGATAGTCTGTTTTACATTCTTACTTTATTAATTCTTCTCTTTTCACAGTTCTCTGTTTTATTATTTCCACTTGCTGTTTGGCACATGAAATAAGACCGCATGCATAAATCATTAATTTTTATGTATTACTTTTCCATAGATCTTTTTAAAACTTTCTCTACAGATAGATATGTGCATTCTGTCACAATAACTAATTTGATTACAGAACACTGTTAATAATTTGTGCTAAATCTAATTTTAAGTATATTTAACTGTTGTCAGTAGTTTGGAAGAATTTACTTTCTCTTTTTGAAATCACTATTTGGCACACAATTATATACTAACCTGTTTCTGGTTTCTTTACTTCAATTTTTTGTATACCAAAGTCACTATTTTAAAGTTTGCCTTTACATAATATAAGGTAACCAAAAAAGCCCTTGCTGTTTTTTTATGTTGTGTGGGAAGAAGTGATCACTGATATGCAAATGAGTGCATCGTGTGCTGGGAAAGCAGTGGGGGGGGTATTGCTCTTGACCAATGCAGGTGTGTTGTCCACACACATCAGTCATAGCTCGAGCAGCAGCAAAGAAACATGGCAGTGTTGAAGCTCCTTGTTCAGGGTTGTCTGATTTATGACTTTAAAGTGGGCTTGTCTACAGCTGCTTCAAGTCATTGAATATGTCAAGACTTTTAGAATAATGCTGTGAGTGAATGCACTGCTAAGCATTGGCTCCAGAAGTTCAGATCAGGAGATCTGTCCCTTTGTGATGAACTCTGCAATGGCTGGCCACAAGTCCTGTATGATGAGGCCTTGAAGGCAACCATAGAGGATAACACCAGCCAACCATTTGAGCTTGTCAAATACTTCCAGTTTTCTGACAAAACAGTCAAACTTCACCTGCACTGCATAGGGAAGGCAATACAAGTTGAGCAAGTCTGTATCTCACACACTGTTGGAACCCAACAAGCAATGAGTGACAGCTTGTTTCTCGTTGCTTTCTTGGCACTATAACTTATCCATATTTGACTGAGTGCTCACAAGTGATAAAAGTGGGTCCTGTATGACACTTCCAAGCATGTCAGACATTGATTGTCACCACAAGACTCTGTACCTCACACCACATGCATGTATGCAAGATCATGCGCTGTATCTGTTGGACTAGTTGACAAGTGGTGCACTATGAGCTGCTACCATTGGGCCAAACCATCACTGCAGACTTGTACCTCTCAGCAGTTGAAATGTGTACAATGGGCACTGAAGCAGAAGCCAGCATTATTTCATCGCAACAGTGTGCTGTTCTTCCATGACAATGCCAGGTCTCATGTGGTGTGGGTGGTCAGGGATATCATATGGTGACTTGGTTAGGAGACACTGTGCCATCCAACTTACTCCCTGGACCTTGTGCCAACAGATTACCACCTCTTCCATTCCCTGGACAACCACATTTGTGAGAAATCCTTCACAAATGAGGAAGACTTGCAGCAGGCACTCACAGATTTCTTTTCATGCAAGACAGCTGATTTTACCACCAGAGCATTGCACAACTGGAAGCATGTTGGTGAAAGTTTCTGGATGCTGATGGGGATTACTTTAAGGGCTAACAGTATGTCAAATTTGCTGTCAATCCCTTTTTTTCTAATAAATCAAAAACAGCAAGGTCATTTTTGGTTATCTTGTATTTAAAAACAAAAACAAATCATTTAGCCAATGATGTTCATAGGTATGGTTGTTTGATTAAAATCTTATGCAAAAGTTAATCATTTTTGTAGGATTTCAGTTTTTTCATGTTTTTGTGTTGAAGATTGAATTAAATAGTAATTCATTTATTGAAGCAATGTTTCCCTGAATTTTGATTTTTAACATTTATTTCCAGAAATGATAGATATAAACTAATGCAATTTCTTGAGATCCTAATTAACTTGGGTTCATATATTTTGCTAGAAAGGTTTTTCAGTTAGTAATTTTGGTATTTTTGCATGACTTATGAGGAAGATATTTCTAATATGAACATCACATATAAATTTTTTTTTATATATATATATATATATATATATATATATATATATATATATATATATATATATATATAGGTATGAATGTTGATAAATGGATTATATCTTGTCTATATTATATAATAAAATCAGATTATACTTAACAATGAATCAAAGGAATTACATTCATAAAAGTCATTTATAAATTATGGGAAACTGATGATAAAGAAATAATAACATCAGTGTTTTTCAGTGCATTATCATAAACATATGAACATGTTTTTATTCATTGTGTGTGGGAATTAGGGGGGTTGCTATGGGAAGTATATATGTGACTTCTTTTTACTGTTAAACAGTAAAACCATCTAAAAATAAAATTACAGCATATATAAATGAGTTCTTTTGTTACAAGTCTTTAATATTTGCTGATATTTCTTGATTATATCTAATATATTTAATGAAATAAACAGTTTATTTTGTCTACTTTTCAAATCAAACATTATTTGTTTGAAATTTCTCTTCTTTCAGTACCAAATTCATTTGAAGCTGTTTAGATAACCTATTTGTTGTACAATTTTGTATTGTGTTTTTCTTTCCATCATGAGAAATATTGCTATGATAAATAAGTACAACCAATTTGATTAAACTCATCTTTCATTTAAAAAGAAATTAGACACTAATGATGGGGAAATGGTCTGCTTGTAAAAAAAAAAAAAAATGAAAAGGGAAAACTTTTTTGGTGATTAATTTTTGTTGATTAGCATTCATTAAACTTTCCTCTCTTCCTCACATTTGTTAGAATCAAATAATAGAAGAGGGGGGCCTAAAAATAGTACAAGAGAGAACTATCCAAATAGTTTATCTGATTGAAAAGTCTTAACATTTTTGATAATTATATATCTGTATGCATGTATGTCTTTAAATATATGAGATGATTAACAATGTTATGTTTTTTTTTTCATTTAAATTTCAAAATTTACATATATATTACAATTTGGAAATATTTATTTGTAGTTATGAATTCAAATTATCAAAAATGTTATCAAATACAGAAAAAGTACATCTTATTGAATCTTAAACCCAATGAAACTTATCTTTTCCATCTTATAAATAAATTTTTGATTCATTGTGATTGTTATAGATTATTTTTTGCATTTAGCTGCCCATGTTTTCATTTTAATGATAATTATTAAAATAATCAAAGATTAATATTAATATTTTTTTAGTCCTGTAAATCTTTTGTAAATAATCTTTTGGTTTAGGATTTATGAGTTTGTTGAGTAGGCCATTTCAGGTTATGCTGTGGGTTTGATTTTTACTGGTTGTTCACACTTGTAGTCTTGTACAAAACTAAGTTAAGCTTAGTAAATATAGTGTGGTGTTAAAGTTAGTAATTTTAGAATAAAGCATTGAAATTTAACTGACAACCTAATATATGAAAAACCTTTCAGTTTTTTATTAACTATTTCTGTGAAGATGTGCTGAAAACTTCTCAGCCCAACCAAGAAACTAACAGCCATGAAATATTCATGCTATTCCATATATTCACCCTGTAGTTCAATCCACTTCATGCATTTCTCAAGTTTCTTTAAACTTTTCCTGTAAATTTCTAATGTTTAGTCAATGAAGTACTTCTCTGCAGCTGCTATCACCTCTGAATCATTAAAAAATGTCTTCCTTTTAAAACTTCTTTTAAGGTTTAGAAACAGGAAATAATAAAGTGAAACAGGATCTTGTGGCGGATGGTCTGTGGTCTCAAACTCCAAATTCTTGAATGTGTCCATAATCTTATCAGCCCTGTGAATAGATGCAAAAAAGAACATTTTTCTGCAACTTTCTTTCTCATTTTTCTTCCAATGACTCATGTAATCACCTCAGCAAGTTAGAGAATAATAGTCTTCATTAACTGTTTCTCACTTCTGAAAATACCATGGCTATGACCCTTTCTGCTGCTGACTTTTGAGTCCTTTGATCATGGAAATCTTGAGTGCTGCTACTACATGGACTGTTGTTTGGTTTCTGGTTCATAATGATATAATCATGCTTAATTGACAGTGGCAAGTCATTCCAAAAAAATAAGACTAAATTTCTGAAAAGTCTGTAAAATCAACTGATTTTCACTTTGGTTGGCATTCAAACATTTTGACACCTATTTGTCTGATATATTTTGCATGCCCAACTGCTCATGAATTATAAATCCAATGCATTCCTTGGATATCTCTAGTGCCTTTGGTCTCAAAATCTCTGTTGGAAGTTGTTACATAACTTCTTCACAATTGAGTATAACAAGCAATTGTCACCTATTGTTTGCATCATACACTCATGAATTCTTTTTTATAGAATTTTCTTCTAGAGAAACAGGAATTTCATGATGGCCTGGAGTTTAACACTTGAAAATTTAACATTTTCTGTTGACATGGTTCAATCACTGATCTGAAACAAATTAAAACAAGGATTCAGCAAATTGGCTACAGCTACAGTAAAAAAACTAATTCCCAGATTTTGGGAAGTTGGTTGGGTTGATAATTTTTCAGTATTCATATAGCAACATACATTTAGTCAGTATATGATAATGAAAAAAGCATACTGTCTGGTATTTAAAATCTTTCTAGATTTTATACTTGATAAAGACAGAAATAGTTGACAAGTTGTTATAAAACTTGAAAACCTTCAAGACGAACTTGTTCACAACTGTTTAATCTTAGTAAACTATATTAAAATTTACACTGATATACAAATGTAAGATTTTTAAGAAAATGATAATTTCTATTATTGTTAGTAACTTCAAACATGAGCTAAATATCATAAATACTTAAGATATACTATGTGTAATGACAAACGTATGCAGATGTAGGCTTTAAGAAAGCTTTATTCAACTGAGAATACA